TCTCATACTTACTCTTTTTCACTGTTTGACTTGATCAAGACTTTTCTAAGATTTTACACTACAAAATAGGTAAAAGTGCGTAACTTGTACTATTATGGTAACGGGTCAATATCGGTATCGGTCAATATCGGTATCGGACATTTCTCAAAGTTGTAATATCGGTATCGTATCGGATGTGAAAAAGTGATATCGGGACACCCCTAGTTTTTGGGAAGTTGTAGTCGGTCAGTTTAATACTTTATACTACTTCTGTGATATTACTACTACTTCTACTTCCTGTTATCTTCTTCATCATCGTCTTTTTCACCAGTAGAAAGAGCCGGTTGTTGATCACGTGACTCCTGTGATGTGAAAAAAGTGTTTSCATTGCAGTTTTGCGAAAAACACCAATTTCGATACGACTGAAAAACCACCTCATCCTAGCGCAAAAACATTTTGTCGAAAAACGTAATTTTTTATGAAATTGACGTGTTTCCATTGAGCAAATTTTATTTTCGAAATTCTAATTTGCGCATTTTCATGGTCGATGGAAACGCAGCTAGTGAGGAAAAGGTGTTTGAAGATTTCAGGTTTTATTTCATTGCCTGTAACTCCTCCGACTGAAGAAGACTTGGAGAAGTGACGGGACTGACTCAGCTTTTTATTTATAGATTTTTCCACTTGGTTTATTGAGACGCATCAAGATAAAGAGTTAAAGTACCTGTGACATCAAATTTTTATAATAAATATGAATGTATTTTTGGAAAGATAACATTGTAAAAAAGATTGATCGCTGCAGAGATGAACAGTTTTTGAGATATTTCCATTTTAAATGACAAAGTGATGTCAGCATGTGATCAGAGCGTTGCTAAAATGATTAACACAGACTGTAGAGAAGAATCTGTTTCTTTAGATTATTTTAATTGCTATCATAGAGAGATGTGAAAGAGTCAGAGTTAAAATAATTTTGTTTTAATAAACAAAAACCAGTAAGTTTACTTCTCAGAGTTCCCCTTTGATGTCACTTCCTGTTTCACTTTAGCTAAGCCAAAATTCAAAAGAAAATATGCCAATTATGTGACATAACTTGTCAAATCATGTGTATTATGCCAAGTTTCTTAAATATTTCTTTGACTCTTTGTATTTCCTATATGTCACAGGCACGTTAAACAGTTTGCAGTACCTTTGATGTGCCTTCCTGTCTTTGTCTGCCTGTCAGCAGCCAGTCCGTCCCCACGACCATCGCCTGGGACCCCCACCACCCCCACTGCCCAGTCAGCAGCCTCCAAGGCGATCCCGCCAAGTCCTGCTCTGGCCAGCATCCTGTCACGTGTCGACATCACCCCTGAGCGGATCCTGAACGCTCTGTCCAAAACCAACACACCAGGTTAGGCTTGTGTAATATTCTGTGATTTAGCCAAAAGTTAAAGTTCCTGTGACGTCAAAACCTTTGTAGTAATACGAATGCATTTTTGGAAAGATAACACTGAGACCATATTACAGAATAATTTTCACACTGCTGAGATGAACAGTTGTTGAGATATTTGCATGTGAAGTAACAGGAAGTGATGTCAAAGGGGAATGTCTGCATGTGAACAGAGCTAAGCTAAAATGCTCAACAGCCCAGACTGTGGAGGAATCTGATGTTTTAGATCATTTTGAGTCGCTATCAAACAGAAACAAACAAAAAGAGTCAAGAGTTCAAATAATGTGTCAATAAACAAAGACCAGAGAGTTCTTTTTCTTAAAGGGGCAGTATTATGTGTTTCTCAGGCATATATTTAAATACTATACCATCATAAAGTATCTATGTCACTGTTAGTTATTGAAATGCCGTTTTTATGTTTAAATAGAAAATAAACTTATCTTCTCATCACTTCCTCTTCTAAACGCCTTGAAATTGGCCTCTGTCTCTTTAAGAACCACCTTCCGCCTCTGTCCCGCTCATTTCGGGGTGGGGTGGGGGGGCTATGATGCCGTTTACTTGGCATCTGAAAATACATTTCCTCAAAGGTATTTTGAATCTGAAAAGAGCTTCATTAGCTGCGTTTCCATTGAAAATGTGCAAATTAGAATTTCGAAAATAAATTTGCTCAATGGAAACACGTCAATTTCAAAGATTACGTTTTTCGACAAAATGTTTTTGCGCTAGGATGAGGTGGTTTTTCGGCCGTATCGAAATCGGTGTTTTTCGCAAAACTGCAATGGAAACACATTTTTCGCATCACAGGAGTCACGTGATCAACAACCGGCCGTTTCTACTGGTGAAAAAGTGACGACGAAGAAGATAACAGGAAGTAGAAGTAGTAGTAAAATCACAAAAGTGGTAAAATAAAGTAGTAATCTCACCGACTTCAATTTCCCAAAAACACAGCATACGTAGCCGCTCCCAAGTAGGGACTTGTCTCTGGAAAGCCTCGAGAAAAGACGCCGACGTCTCCTCTGATGATGAGCGCTAGTGTCGTGGTAGCAACATGCTATGTGTTTACATCCATCGCTGCCATGTTTGTAATGACTTATGAGAACAAACGTATTCACGTGACTTTAATAGCATTTCTTACTTAATAGAAACACCGCAGTTGCGAAACTGTTTTTTCGAATAACAGAATATCAACAAAGTTTTGCGCACATTTGCAATGGAAACACAGCTACCAAGTGAGGAGTAGTGTTAGGATCTCAGCAGACAGTTTAAGTTTCACTTTCAGTTTCACTCGTTTGCTTTGTTACTGCTGAGAGCCTGCAGGAGCCATGGGTGGGATGTGTGGGGAGGTGTGCTCTGTGATGAGGAAGCTCGGCTTGAAGACACTGCCCAGAGGTGGAGCTTGTCCCAAAAAGACACAACCCAGGGGCGTTTCTGGTCTCCAACTGTCGTTTTGCTCCTCAACATAGCTTCCTAAAAACACTGCAGGATTTCTCAAACATGCATGAATCAAAGTCGAAGCAAGGCTTTGGACATGTTTTTTATGAGAGTATAACATGATATAAAACTCAAAAGTTGATTTTACATGATATTGCCTCTTTAAAGGAGTTCCCCTTGATTTGTCACTTCCTGTTTCCCTTTTTGCCAAGACAAGTTTAAGAGAAAATAGATCAGTTATGTGTCTAAATGGATAAAATAACGTTATGCCAAGTTTCTTAAATAGAACAAAGTTTTCTTTGACTTTTTGTATCCGAAGGATAAGCACGTCATAGGCCAGGGCTATCCAACTAAGCTGCTCCGGGGGCCACAGTTACTGCAGGTCAACAGCTGAGGGGCCAAACATCCAGCAATTAAAGTCATTATGTAAATAAACCATGTATTACAAAGATCTGTTACTTTTGAATTAGTTTATTTTGCTGCATTTAATCATGAATACAACATACAGAACCCTATAAAAGTAGTGATAATTACACATAATCAAAAACAAAAATAACACATCATACCTCATATTATTAGACACAAATAATATTTTGACATCTCTGACTTGCCAAAATTTTAAACCAATTTTATTTTCACTTTCATCATTTCATCTTCAACTGCTTGTAGTTTTAACTGTCTTGAGTGTTCATAGAAATGGTTTTTTACCAGCTTGTAACCAAGAGTCTGATATTCATGTTGATACCAAACATGTCTATGTTTAACTAAAAGAACTTAGAGTAATTAAAGTAGAAAAATGGGGGTTTGGGCTTAAGAGATGAATGAACCAATTGGTGGGCCAAACTTTGGTCACTCACAGGCTGGATGTGGCCCCTGGGCCACCAGTTGAGTAGCCCTGTCACAGGCACTTTAAAATGTTATGTATTTGTTTTTTATTTTCTGTTTTCATCTCCGCGCAGCTTTGTCTTCTCTGCTTCAAAGTGTGACGCACACCTCCTCTGCGACCTCCGCCCGCACCTCTCCAGAGTCAGCAGGTGTCAAAACACCCGTCACCCCAAAACCCAAACCCCCCCTGAGTAACAGCCTCAAACCCCCCCTGAGTAACAGCCTCAAACAGGATGCTCCTGCGAAGAGCAGGGACTGGGAGAAGGAGAAACGTCTTTCTTCTCCTCCTCCTCCTCCTCCCCCTCCCCGTCACTCTGCTCCTTCAGTTTCTCCCCCGAGCCTAGAATCCAAGATCAACAGTTTCCTGCAGGGCAACCCGGGTTTCAGCGTGGTCCTGGGCGACGACAGCCCCGACGGGGTGGACGGGACCCCGGTGAGGGACGAGGCGGCCGGCACGCCCACGCAGGACGAGATCATGGACGCACCCGACTCGTTGGGCCACGGCCTCTCGCCCACCGCCTACCACGGCGAGCCCTGGGACGCCGCCGTCGCCCCGTCGGGGAGCGGCAACGATGGAGACGGCTCCGCCTTCAGATACGGGACGGTGAAAAAGAGCGGCGCGCTGCCGAAAGACGACGAGGCCAAGAGGAAGCTGGGTTCCTCCCCCAACTCGAAGGGGAAGAAGGAGGAGAAGCTGAGGATCATGGGAAACAGGAGACACTCTGCCGGCTCTCGGAAGCTGAGCACCGGCTCCGATGAGGACGGGGGTCTGGGTGGGGTCAAAGAGGACAACGGCGTGTTTCCAGACGGAGACGCAAAGGGGGGTCAGTACCATCGCATCCAGACGCTGGTGTCCCCCCACGCCGAAGGAGCCCCCATCCAGACTCTGGGCTATTCCAACCGCCCGCTCGCCGGGGAGCGCATCAAGACGGTGGAGAGCATCCGCGTGATTGACAGGGGCTCGCGGCGAGGGGGAGGGTCTGGGAGCCGAGCGGGGGCTGCCGCCATGTGGTACGAAGAGGAGGAGTACCTGGACACCCGGCCCCCTCTGTCCCACGCCATACCGCCCCCTCTGAGCCTGGGGGGTGTAGAGGACATCCTGCCCTCCATGCCGCTGCCGCCCCCTCCTCCCCCGCACCTCCTCGTCTCACACCTCCACCC